AGGTGATATCTCATTGTGGTTTGACTTGCATTTCTTTGCTGATGAGTGATACTCAACATCCTTTCATATGCTTATTGGCCATTTTTATGCCTTTATTGAAGAAATGTTTATTTAATAAGTCCTTTGCTAATTTTAAAATAAAGTTACTTGAGATTTTTTTTGTTTTGTTTTGTTTTCATTTTTGTATTTTGCTCTGTGAGTTCCTTAGAGTCTAATTTATAACTCCTTATTATGTATAGAGTGTGCAAATATTCTCTTCCTATCTTTAGTCAGCCTTTTCATTTTGTTATTTCCTTTGATGTGGAGAAGTTTTTGCTTGATGTCACCCCATGGGAATTATTTCTTTTGTGTGGTAAGTTCTTCTCCCTGTTTTGTCTTTACTTCATATTAAATGCTACTTTCGTATCTGGCAGGCCTTTGCTATTTGCTCATATTTAAAGTTTGTATACTAACAAGCTAATTAGTGTTCTGTTTATATGTGAGGCTTGTCTACTATGGTCTTCTTTATGTGGTGGAATGGGGAGGGCTTATTTTGGGGAGCCCCTAGGTCTTTTCTTCCAGTTAGTCAGAGTTCCCAGAGAAGCTTCTAAGCTCCAGTCCAGATGGGAAAGCCCTCTCCAGATTGCATTCCAGGTGTACAACAATGGGAAAGCTGATAATCTGAACATTAGTTTTATAAAATTTCAGTTATCCTATCAATCCTCAATTGTGCTTAGTGTTTCCTAGGCTTAAGACAATGTTCTCATTTTTAAAAGGAAATGTTTTAATTGAAATATAATATACCAAAAATTGCACAGATCATGAGTGTATAATTCAATGGACTCTTACACAGTGAACACACTTGTGTAAGCAAAACCAGACCAAGACATAGAATGTAATCAGCCCTCCAGATGCTTAACTTTGTGCATTTTCCCAACCATTCCCCTCACGCCTTAAAAAAAAGATCACTGATATTCTAGTCTTGCCAGGAGTGGTGGTGCACACCTATAATCCCAGCTACTTGAGAGCAGCATCAACACCACTTGGAAAATAGAAATTCAGACTCTCAAGTTTCACCTTAGATCTGCTGAATCCCAGTCTGCCTCTTAGGAAGATGTACATGTAATTTGTGTACACATCAAAATTTGAAAATCCCCAGTCTAAAACTCTGTGATATACTATTATTGAAGTTTATGGTTCAGAGCAAGGATGCTAGGGAAGTGTGTCCAAGGGAAATTTTATTTGGTAGCGAAAAATATTAGAGAAGAGCAAGAGATATCTATTAGGATAACATGATAAGAACTCATAATATTGAGGCTGAATGGCAAAGTAGGATCTTAACATTGGAATGAAAAAATTAATTTTGAAAGAAAAGGAATAGACAATGAAGGGAAAAAATATCCACAGGAGTTTGGCAAGGATTAGATATATTAGTGTGTGGGAAGAGACATGAGAGAGAGAGAACTGGAGACAGGTGGAGAAGCATTTGTTCTAGTCAGAAACACCCCCTGCTCAGATTCAGTCTCCAGTTCCATCCATTTACTGGAAAATGCCATAATTTCATTCATTCTCTATGGCTGAGTAATATTCCATTGTGTATATGTACCACACTTTCTTTACTCATTAAGGGGGCTTTTACGTTATCTATTTAGTATGAAAATTTTCAAGATGAGATTAAACATTTAATTTCCCAGATTAAATCTGGGAAACTTGACCAAATCTTTTAATTACTTTCTTTATTTGAGATGAGATCTCACTATGTTGCCCAGAATGGTCTTGAATACATGGGCTCAAGTGATCCTCCTGCCTCAGCTTCCTGAATTAGCTGGGACTCTGCATGCCACCACACCTGGCTAGGGTCTTATTGTTTTGTTTTAAAGCTATACATGTTACTTTGGGGACAACTGGGAAATTTGAATATGTATTAGATATTAGATAATATTTTTGTGATCATGTAGAATTAAGAAGTCTGCAATTTTAAAATGGGAAAGAAGGGAAAGAAAGGAAGGAGGCAGAAAGGAAGGAAGGAAGGGCTAGAAAGAGGAGAGGGAATGGAATAGGAAGGGAGGAAAGAAGGGCAAGCAAAAACAAATATCAAGGCAAAATGATAAAACAAAATGCTGATCAGTGGTGAATCTAGGTGAAAGGTATGTGGGTTTTCAATGTATTATTTTCCCAATTTTTCCTTAGGTCTGATTCAGTCTTGGTCTGGAGTACAGCTTCCCACAGCTTGGGCTTGTTGTTGGGGCCTGTGGGAACATTTTCAATCTTTCTCATCACAACAAAGCTATCAGTGATTTTTCCAAATACTACCTGCTTCCCATACAGCCATTCACACTTAAAGCAGGTGATAAAGACTGACAGCCATTTGTACAGGGACCACTGTTTGCCATGGAAAGAAGGCCTGGGGCTAAGAGTCTCGGTTTAAAATTTTCATCTGTAAATGGTACCTGGTAAATGCTGGTGACTCTGGTACCATCTCTATTAACAAAATTTCCACCTTGAATCATGAAATCATTTAGGAAGTTTCTCCTTTGTGTCTATCCTATTGGCACTCCATCTTTTCTATAATCAGAAAGAAAGAGACTTGGAATGAAGACAAGTAATCTTTTTTTTTTTTTCCAGTTTAGGATACCCTGAAGCCAAATGGATGCTCCTGAATTCTCCTGTGCAGAATCATCTAACGTTCTTAGCCATCTTAGGTACAATGTCTGCAAACAGCTCAATCTTCATGGCTGCCAATGCTGACATCAAAGAACATCACAGGGTTGACAGGCTAGAATTTGCCACCGCCATGGATGGTAGCTGTCCTTCTATGAAACTGACCCATTCAGTTAAGGACCTTTAAACCCTAATAGCAGTTTCCCCAGAAAAATATGTAGTTATTTTACATACAATTCTAGGATATTTAAATAACTCTTGTTCTTGTTAATATCTGGGTTAAGAATTAATTGGGCACAGTGGTGCACACTTGTAATCCCAGTGACTGGGGAAGCTAAGGAAGGAAGATTGTAAGCTTGAAGCTAGCCTCAACAACTTTGTAAGACCCTGTCTCAAAATAAAAAATAAGAAAGTCTAGAGATATAGCTCAGTGATAGTGCATCCCTGAGTTCAACCGACAGCACCAAAAAATAAAATAAAATAAAGAGTCTAGATTAAGAACTCTAGTTTTGGAATATTTTTTGTGCTATTTTCATAAATTTTTGGACATCAGCTTTTTGGGCAACTGAATAATAATGGCAAATGATTACATTGTGTATGATGTACCAGGCACTATTATAAACAAAAAGGGTGATTTCAAGCTTGTACATGCTTGTGTGTGTGTGTGTGTGTGTGTGTGTGTGTGTTTCTAGTTAATTGTTGTAGTCCAGTAAAAGGAACCAAGGGAGTAGCAGTTCTTCCTATAGGGTACCTGCCAGTTCAGGCACTACATAAAATATTTGAAGCTCATTCAGGGCACCTATTATATTTCAGAGTCAAAAGCAATATTTGTGTGAAAAGAAAGGAAGTAAAGGAATTTATTTAGAATAGGTTTTCGGCACTGATAAAACTTGCCTCCCTGAAATAGTTAAATCTTGCTTTCCTTGGTGGGGAAGGGTGGTATTGAGCGGAGAGGATGTCTCTGAGTTCTTAGAACTAACTTGTCATTTTGGGAAAATACTTCAGGAAGGATGATAAGAACTCTGAGTCACCAATCTACTCTTAAATCAGCAATCTAAAGGCTATCAGGAAAGTGAAGTTTATAGCATAATAAACACAACGGAAAACTAGCTCTTAAACTCTTTATACAGCACTGTATTTGAGACCCAGTTTTGACTGTCATTGGACATTTGGCAGGAAATACACAATCTACTTTGCCCTGTAAGGTAGAGTTTCAGTGATGGCCTAAAAGAAGTCGTGTGCTTGTAATGAATGTCGTCTCGGGCTCCTCTTCATAAGATCCTGCATAGGTGATAATCTAAACACATCTCTGCCTATCTCCTATCTGAGTGAGTATATGATTTCCTTTCTTCTAGAAGTATTTATGAAGAACTGGTAATGTAGTTTGTTTTGTTTCTGGTACTGAGGATTGAACCCTGGGGCACTTAACCACTGAGCCACATTCAGCCCTTTTTAAATATTTTATTTAGAAACAGGGTCTCACTAAGTTCCTTAGGGCCTCACTAAGTGGCCGAGGCTGACTTTGAACTTGCAATCTTCCTGCTTCAGCCTCCTAGGCCGCTGGGATTACAGGCATGCTAACCATGTAAAGAAAAAATAATAATCCTTTGATGACTTTCTAGGCCTCCAACTTGTTTGTGCCTATTAATTAGCTCTCTCACATTTTTTTTCATACCCCTGGTCTCCAGAGGATTAAGAACCAAGAGTTCAAAAGGGTACTCAAGTTTTGAAAATGAGCATAGTTGAGAAGACAACAAGGTTGCAGGAACAAAGAGAACCTGCTAATGTTACTTATAAACCTTTGGAATTTTAAGAAAAAAGGGTCAAAGTGATAATCTGTCTTTTAATGTGGAACATAGAAATGAAAGGCAAGAATAAAACATTTTAGAATAATAGTTTAGAAAATATGACCACTAATGAAATTTGCAGAAATCCTCAATACATTTTTACTTATAATAACCTGACTCCAAAGTTGAATTCACTCAGCTAAATGCCAGCTCAGTGGGACAGGGACAGGGAGTTTACAACAGGCATTCCCAGAGTTGATAAAGCTCCTCAGAGCGTTTTGTTTTGCTGGGAGCACACAGAGATGACAACAGGAGTGTTAATCATTTTCTCACCAGGTAACCTTAGTCACAAGTTCCTGCTAACAGCAAAATCATCCCTCTGGTTTAAATGCAATTAAAACCTTTTTATTTAGTTCACATTTGAATTCCTCCTTTCTAGGTGAAGCAGATTTGTTGAGTAATTTTTTCTACAGATTCCATTTGTCACTTTCACAAACTGAAGTTTTTGTGATCATAGTGGTGGGTGGAATTTCAGAATCAAATTTACTGCCTGAAGTCGGGGTGAAGTTTACAATGGCTGTGATGATGAAGACGGTAAGTGAGTGAGCATTTTCTTTGCTCTTAAGTTTATTTTCTCTTATGCAAGATTTTATATGTCTGTGAATGTGCAAGGCATAATTTTGTAATCATAGTTAAATCTAAATCCATTTAGATTGAAGATTGTGTTTAAGTGATCAGAGATCAAATTGCACAGTGAAGCATGTATGATGAAATTGCTTCTGTTTCTTGAAAAAATGTTTTTATTAATGAAACAGCTTTCTTAATAAATTGAACACTTACTGAAATGTTCTTCTGCATTGATGTAATAATGTTGGACTATTCAGTAATTATACTGGAGACAATTTAATTTTAATTTAATTTTTTTTAGTTGTAGATGGACAATATCTTTTATTTATTTATTTATTTATTTATTCATTCATTCATTTATTTTTTAAAGAGAGAGTGAGAGAATGTTTTTAATATTTATTTTTCAGTTTTTGGCAGATACAACATCTTTATTTTATTTTTATGTAGTGCTGAGGATCGAACCCAGCGCCCCATGCATGCCAGGCCAGCGCGTTACCGCTTGAGCCACATCCCCAACCCAATATTTATTTATTTTTTATGTGGTGCTGAGGACTGAACCCAGGGCCTCACACGTGCGAGGCAAGCACTCAGCCCCAGCCCGACCCTGGAGACAATTTTATTTGAACAAAAAAGATGAATAATTTTGATTATTGGAAATAGCTAAGCTGGAAACTCTGTGGTATACCTGTAGATAGATTTTGGTTCTAATAGAAATATTGTTTTATGGTTGTGTGTTTCTATTCAGCAAGATGATTTTTTTCTTGTTTCCTGAAATTTATTTGAAGTAGTTATGGCAATTTTATTAGTGAAACCTATCTTGATATTTCAATTATTTCCTTTCCTGGAGAAGAACATGATATTTGGGTATAGTAGAAACACTTTCATTGGAAAAGTGATGACTCTTTTCTTGCCCATCTCAGTTGGGTGATGCTTTATTTCAAGAAATAAATAGAGATTTTTATCCTTTGAAGCCTAGAACAGTCTATGTGCACAGAAGTTTGTGGAAATAGAAATTGATTATTTTTTCTTTTACTCTGCATTCATATTAGTGGATTTTGGCAGATATTTCCTAGACACTTGTATCAAGTCTTTTTTTAAATTTTTTTTAATTAATTAATTTTTATTTATATATGACAGCAGAATGCATTGTGATTCTTATTACACATATAGAGCACAATGAATAGATGAAATTTTTTTTTTTTTGTACTGCAGATTGAACCCTGGGGCACTCTACCACTGAGCTACATCCCCATCACTTTTTATTTTTTTATTTTGAGACAGGGTCTTGCTAGTTGCCGAGACTGGTCTCAAACTTGCAATCCTCCTGTCTCAGCCTCCCAAATTGCTGGGATTACAGGCATGCACCACCACACCCAGCTTGTATAATGCTTATTAGGTACAGAATAAGTCAGTGAAAAATCAAAAAGGAAGTAGAAGGTAACAGTCCTTATCTGAAAGGAGTTTAACTCATATCTATTTCACTATGAACCAAACATTTCCATTTTGGAGGACTTAATGCCACTTTTCTTCTAAGTATTTAAAAAATTATAGGGATGAGACACTTGTTTACAACAATATTGCTCATTGTTTTAAAAAACTGGGAACAACCAAATGTGAATGAACAAGGTATGTTAATGAAAAATGGAATGTTATATAATTCATAAAAAAGAATGGAGTGAATCAATATTTGTTAACATAAAACCAGTCAAAGTTATATTGCTAAGAAAAGCAAGCTTCAAAAAATATTAGGTATAACATAGCCCATTTTATATAAAAACAAATAAGTGTCTACATTTACAATGTTTGTAGGAATCATCATTAAGTCATTTAAGTGGCCATTTTCAGGATTAGATAAGAAACTTTTTGACTTTGTAGGCACTAGAATGTCTTTGGCAGGGACTTCATTTATTTAATGTTGAAACCCTAGTGTATATAATAGTGCCTGGCTCATAAAGGACACACAACACATAGTGTTACATGAGTGGGTAAATGAATTTCTGAATTTATTTATTTAGTAATATTTAAAACAATTGTGGTTAACTTGTAGAAGACACGAGTCCACAAAATTAAAAAATGATGTAGAAAACATTCAAGCTTCTAATTCTTCCTTTCTTCTTGTTATCTCTACTTTTCCATATTGGAATGACGTGCTCCCTTCCTTTTATACCTCATTTTAATTCAACAGGAAACAAAAATCTAGAGATCGGGGTGCAGCTCAATGGTGGAGCACTTGCCCAGCATGTGCAACACCCTGGGTTTGATCGCCAGCACTGACCACATACACACACACACACACACACACACACAAACAAAAAAAACAAAAAACAAAAATTCTGCCTTGGCTTCGTACTTTGGAATCCTCGGGAATCCATGCATCTAAAATCCTAGATTTCTGCTTCCCTTTTTAAGTGAAGGCCATCTTTCAGATTTTATGACAAACCCTGTAGAATATAGATCCTATCCTACAACCTTTTGTGTCACCAATACATAACATAGGACCTCCTGCATAGAAGGAACATGATTTTGTAGCTGGTTATTCTTTCCACAAACATTTGCACAATTCTCAATGATGCTATACTGCTGTAATCCCTCCTTCTATACAAAGCATTGTATGCAATAGGCACTCAACACGTGTTTGTTGAAGAAATGATTGGTGCTTGACTGTGGCATATAATCTTTGTGTATACCAGTGGTTAGATTTGGTTTCAAGGATGATAGGAGGAGGCTCTTGGTTTGAGATTCTTTTGGTAGCCAATGACAGAACATCTGAATAAATCTGGCTATTTTAGTTGGGTTTCTGTTGCTGTGACCAAAATACTTAACAAGAACAATTTAGAGGAGGAAAAATTTATTTTGGCCCACGGTTTCAGAAGTTCAGCCCATGGTAGCTGACTCCATTGCTTTATGCCCAAGGTGAGGCAAAACATCATGGCGGAAGGGAACAGCAGAGAAGTACTGACCTGCTCATGGCATCCAGGAAGAGAGAAAGAGGAAGGGATCACAGGGAAAATGCACCCTTCCAGGGTACACCTTGTCCAGCTATGCCCCACCTGCCTACAGTTACCACTCAGTTCCATTCAAACTAGGAGGACTAATTAGCTTACAGTACTTGCAATTATTTCACTTCCTGCATTAACACAGGAGCTTTTGGGGGACACCTCAGATTCAAACCATAGAAGTAGAAACAGAAGAGTCTTTGTAAGCCAGTAGAATGAGTTGAACATAACTTTCCTATGTTCATATAAGAATACATGACCAGTGTAACTCCACATCATGTGCAATCACAAGAATGAGAAGTTATAATCCATGTGTGTATAATATGTCAAAATACACTCTACTGTTTGGATATCTAAAAAGAACCAATTCAAAAAGAAATACAGCACAATATTTAGGTATAATAAACTAAACAATAATTACTATAAAAAAAAAGATAGGAGTCCTTGTTGGCTCACACAATAGTTGAATGGTGCACTTGGCTTGAAAATTAGCTAGACCCTGTGGCTCAGAATGATCTCTCTCTATCTGTTTGTATTCTGTTCTCAGACAAACTTTCTCCTTGAGGTTATAAAATAGCTACCAGAATCTCTAGGAACTATATTCTTTCACTTTCTGATCAGCAGGAAAAATGTGAGTGTTCCAGCAACCCTAGAAGACGAAATGAGGATACTTCCTCAGCGTGAGTGAGCTGTGCTCAACACTATTTGTGGCTGTGAGAGCCAACATACAGACCTTATGAGCCTCAAGGGCCAGGGGTAAAGCAGCCAAGACAACCAAGGGCAGGGGATAGATGAATCCCCAAATAAAAATCAGAGATTTTGTTATAAGTTGCCATATCAGCAACGGATGCCTGATAGTTAAACAACCAATGTTGATCACCAAGGAAGACAAAGAAATTCATTCCCTTCTTTTCTATTCTCCTTAAGATAAATAGATTACACAAAGAGCCCAGTGAACCCTAGCTTTACAGAGAAGTACCATAGCTATTAACTGTTAAAAAGGAAGCAAAAGGAAGATGTAAGGAGTAGACTGACTTGGAAGCCAAGTCCTGTTTTATATCAGTAGTTCTCGAATGAGATGGGGATAATTCTGATTGCCAGGCCATTCTTTATAACAATTACAGAAGAATCATAGTATTGGGATCTGAACAATAGCACCCTTAGGCTCCCAAGTAAATTGTGTTAGAGCCAAGCTGGAGAACAACTATTCAAAGAGATCTCAGGGAGGATTAATAATAGTTCTAAAGACACCTGAAACTTTGCCTTAGGTAAAGTAGATTCTCAAATACTGTATCTATTGATTTGTTTAAAGGAGGAAAAGAATAGATTTAGGCAAAGGAGGGATAATTGTTGTTAACCTACTGTGTGCTAGGCATCATCTTCAACTCTCACTGCATATAATATTTCAGCTCATCCTCATAGTCAGGAATAAAAAACCCTCGACTTACAGTGAAGACAGAGATTCAAAAAAGCTAGGTAACCTACTGAAAAGCCAACCAATAAATAAAACAGATCTGTTAAGCTCCAAATTACATACTCTTTTACCATACCATTTGTAAATATCAGACATAGATTCAAAGGCAAACTCAGATGTTGACTAACAACTAAATTCTTCTGGCTGAAGAATAGAGTATAGCTGGGCATGGTGGCACATACCTATAACTCCAGTTGCTCAGGAGGCTAAGGCAGGAGGATCACAAGTTCAAGGTCAGCCTGGGCAACTTAGCAAGATCCTTTCTTGAAATAAAAAAGTAAAGTGAGCTATGGCGATGCATGCTTATAATCCCAGTAGCTCAGGAGGCTGAGGCAGGAGGATCTCAAGTTCAAAGCCAGCCTCAGCAACTTAGCAAGGCCCTAAGCAACTCAGCAAGATCCTTTCTCTATACGTATAAAAAAGGACTGGGGATGCGGCTCAGTAGTTCAGCATCTCTGGGTTCAATTCTCAGTACCAACAAAAACAAACAAAAATAA